TGTGTGTGCACAAGGCTTGACATCCACATATAACAAAAGGGACGGGATCTCGGAACTGTGGGAGGCTTGAGGCTTCACCAGTGGCACAGAGCGGCGTCTGGAGTGAATGTGGGTGAACCTGTGTGTCTCTCCGATCTGTTTTGTCTATCAGCTTATTGTTGTGGCTTTTCCTCCATTAACTAATGATTGTCTAGGCGTTGCTGGATTGTTTTTTTTTTCGACCGAGAAATCGAGATATGTGGGATACTACCAGAAAACGTGTGTGTACAATCCGCAGCATCTAGTTAAACTTCAAATCTTGGCCAATACGAGATTCGCATGTTTTCCATCATCGGTATTGTGAGTTTGTAAAAAGCACGGTAACTTCATTGCTCCTGGCATGTAGATGTGCTTAGAGAGGTATCTAATGCGTGCAAGATGCAAGTGGCTCCCTCGTTACCGAATTGCCAACAGGCATATGCTAGTTTCAATATGAAAGAAAAACAATTGAAACTGGAGATGGTGTGCCTTCGTATCAATCAACATAGGAGTAGTGTCCAATGAGCAATAGCTACATTGGACGGTAAAAGGCAACTTGACTGCAGGTTGCCATGCGCTACCCTTGTCCCCGGTTGCTTTTTCGAGGGGCACTTGACGTGGGTAGTGTACATAGGTCCTGTTGGCTAAATCACGGGTTAAGTACCTCTAGATGTACATAGCCAGTAAAGTCATTGTCCAGATTTTCCAGCGCGGGGACAGACGCCAAACCTGGTGGTGGTTTGTTTGGATAAGATACTTGTGGGATACCCCGTCTAATTTTCAACACGGTCGTAATGTGTGATCAACACCAAGCTGGCGATCGCCGACCTAGAAATCGACCGTGTGGATATGCATGGGAAACTCGTGGTCCCTCTCACTACCCGGACAATCAGTTGACGCCGGAGGGCTCGAGGAAGATCATGCCGGAAGTAGGGGCTTGAACACAGCACAACAAATTGGAATATTTGGGTGTCTTGAAAGTCCCTTTGCGTTGATTCTAACTTTGGTGCGGTGCATATCGGCTCCTTTCTCTCCATGAAGATAAGATCGTGTTCCTTACATAGCCGCCGTCCCCGGTAAAGTGGAAGCTAGGATGGACTGACAGAGCCGCAAGACGGTGTTGTGTGGACGGGATATACATGCACTGACGCTGTAGATCAACAAAATGGAACGCTGATGTGCAGGATGAGGATTTCGAAGTCCCAAATTAGCCATATCTTAGTTTGGACGGCATGCTTGGACCGGGGTGATGATGGGCAAGAATAACGATTGGTTTGGAGAAAGGTAACATTCAGTTCCTCCTTTTTGCAGATTGAAAAGATGGACGTTCCTGAAATAATTGGGGAAGATGATTTGGATCCTGGTAGAAGACAGATATGGAAGGTGCAAAACTCAAGATCCAGGGTCATCTAACGCCAATGCCGGGCATCGGAACAAGAGGGTGTTGTATTGGGCAATGAGTGAGCAAAAAGAAACTTCGTTGGGGTGGATTGACATTGTAGGTGACACTGCGGAGTGTGGAATAGATGGGTGCTGACGGTGCAGTGTATCAAAGATTGATACAGCCCGTGCGAAGTGCTAAAAATAAGTTAAAAATAGATCATTTCTAGCGGAGCCCGGTCAGATTCCGATAGTGGGCTAACTCTTGGCTAGCCCAATGAGAGCTTTTAGCCCACTTGGGCGCTTGCTGCTCGACTGTGGGCTAATTCCAACCCACGGCAACTGGCCAATTAGAGGAACAAGATGGCGTGTCGTTTCGTGACTTCGAAGGGGAGGAGTGCTGTGCAGCAATGTGCATGCGTCACATCGTGAACCGTTGCGGTCTCCTTGCATCATTGCACAATGACATGGTCCCGGTTCCGACAACCCGAGAGTGGACGATCGATCAACACCTCGCTTAGAAGACTGGCTCGTCGTCACTTGTCTACGTAGTGGGAATCTCTCATGGGCTGGTCGAAGTCTAGACTTTCGAAACATTCAGAAGACAGACATGAGAGGATGGGCAAAATAAGGATGTCATTCAAGTAGAGTCAAAAGTGCAGAGTTATGACTTTAGTAATGTGATCATGAACGCGACTGTCTCGGCTGTCGCATGGTTCCGGATTCCAGATATCCCGGCTCTTTAAGAGCTTTCGACGGAGCCAAATCCGCTAGGGAAGGGGACCATCAACAGCCATCCCGCGACGTCATCGGAGAAAGGTAAGTTCTGAAGCAGCTTGACGACCATAGGCTTGGCCCTCTGCTAGTTGGCCGCCGTGACCAGGCCGACTTGTCTTTACCCCCCTTCTCCAAGGTTTAGCAGATTTCTACGATAAATGTCACCATCCATCCTAACTTTCACTTGTCAATCTCTTTGGGACTTTGGATACCTTGTGATGAAACGCTGCGCAGGTCCTCTCTTGGTGTTTCGGGTTCCATGTATCGGCAATAGTTTCTCTCTTCAAACCAGGTATACATAGTCTTCATGAACTTAAAATGACAGCGCCTAAGCCGAGAGAGCCTGATGCATTGGAAGAAATAGACGACTTGGACATATCATGGGCCATAATCAAATCTGTGGTTTGAAGTAGCTCTGTGCTACTGTATGAACAATCACAGCGAGGTAGTCACCGCCACTAGACCCAAAAGGAAATGAAAAAAAAAAAACCCTTAGGAAAAAGAAAACCCATTTTCTGTTGTGGGAGGGGGGGTAAATCATTATGTCTCTTATTAGGTATTCGGAGTCATGCCCAAGATATAGTGGTTTTAGATATGACCAGCTTTCTTTCTGGATGAAACCTTGCAGATATGGGTAAATCTGTCAACAACGGTGATAACTAGCGCATCTTATGGCTTGGAAACTTTTGTTATTCTCCTTGTTTAAAGATGAGTATTTTGTAACCTCGGCCCTTTGCAGTTGTAAACCTGGACATTACAAAATCCGTGGGTAGATAGACGTAAATGCCTTCTTCGTGAATTGGCCTCCGTTTTGATCAATCTGGAGAGCACCTTCAACGTTGAGCCGACAACTAAAGACATGGAAGTAACTAATTGTCAAGAACAAAAAGTCCTGTGTTACGTAGCTGTCGATATGAAAGCTCTAATATGACCCGGAGGACGTCGTAGGTACAGCATATGTGAAGTCCGAGACATCCCGGGGGCCGGGGCCGTCATGCTGTCAGTACGTAGTATGTACCTTTCTTGCATACCGAGATGTCCACGAGGGTACGTACCGGGCTGAAGGCCGGGAGGAGAGAGCTGGGACGAACCGATCCAAGCATTTGGATGACCAGGGGTAGCATCGTCAGTCGTCGCACTGTGACAGCGACTTCAACCTCAACAAAGCTATGGCCAAACGCGCATGTGCTATAACGTGCTGCGAATTGGTTAGCAGAAGGCAAAAGGAGACGCATACTTGTTGACATCGCCAGTGCTGGCAAAGCAATTCGTTCGTTTCATTATCAATGGTGAGCCGGGGTGGTTGAATGGGTGATATCAGATCGTTCCGGCAAATTAGTGCAGGCTTTTGATCGACATCCATGTTGCGGAGCGAGGTTAGCTCGAGGTTAGTCAATTCATCGAGCAACAAAATATGTCGTACCCTATCCCTCCTCGTTGCATGTCATTGAACCCTGGTTACACCGACAGTAAAAGACGCACGCAATCTTTTAGCACGACTTCGAGCAGACATGGCGAGGATGCGTTTAACTGGGAGGTTAAACGGCTTAGTTTTGTGCATGTGAGGGGCGTTTCGCGCGGGTAAAACAAAGGAATGTTCTCACAGACGCTCTATGTTTCATCCTCAACGAAACAATCGGCTTTTTAGATCTTCGTACTACAACCGAAACCTTGCATTCTCCTGTCTTCCCCAGGAATTGACCAAGTCGAAAGGCGTCCTTTGTTGTCCTGAAAATCCAAGCCTAGGTAAATGCGGCTCGATTTTCCACGGGGACGGGCTAAACTATGTTTACTGTGCATGTTTGTCACAGTGTCCCTGAAGCGTGAAGCGAGATGGCGTCGGCTGGCTGACGGAAGGGTATCAACCAGTTGCGGGGTGTTTTGGGCTTTCACGTTCGTCCTCTCGTCCAAACTTCCGGTGCAAATACAGGCAAGAGCAGGACGTGCCAGATGGGCAGAAGAACGAAACGGAATGGAGCCTGTCGGGGATGAGAGATGAAGGAGAGCCTTGTCCGCCAAGACCTGACTCGTGTGTCCCTCGACTTCCCTTGTCGTGACTGCAGTTGCTGTAGGTGTCCCTTGGGTGGCGTGGTATCCACCTCGCTCCGGCTGCTACAGTACCTCTAGTGTATAGGTAAGCACCGTGGCACCCACGCTCCACGGCAGGGCACCCAAGGGACCGGACCCTCCACCCCCCTCCACAACCTACGGTAGTGGCTTGAATGGGTAGGTCCGTCAGTTCATCCCCAGCCGAACTGTGTGTTAGGAGGTACTAGTGCAGCGGTGCCCCAGGCCCTGGGCTCTCCCCCCCTTCGCGCACTCCCGTCGCTCGTCTGTCCTCTTTCCCCCAACTTGCGTGTGAACGTGAAGAAGACGATCTATTATTAGCATCATCAAGCCAGCCTCATCTGCATCGACCGGCGCCGCAAGGTACTGCAGTAATACAACGTCTTCGAACATCCTTTGCATTCCTAGATATTTTATATCCAGATACCGGCTGCCGACGAAGAGCTGTCGACCTGGCCGGTGGTGTTGACGACTTCACCCTTCTAGCAGACGTCCTCCCCGAATCCTCCATCAGCAGCACATCCAGCTTCTGCATCAATTTCGTTGTCTTTGGCCATCGATAGGCCTTTGCTTGTTCTTTCACTACAAGCGTCGACATAGTACCAGTCGCATATATATGCCAATTGTGCCTCCACAGCAACATCAGATTGAATCACTCCCGTTCCGACCCGAGGACCGCATACTCGGCGCTGTCAATTACAAACATCCGACGACATCCCGACTTCCCATCGCGTTGTCTTCTACCACTCACACGTTGCTGTTTTGCCGAATCCATCGTGTTGATAACTGACACAAGACACCACTTCCGTGGCCCCGAGAGAATCACACCTGTATTGATCTGATCGCAGTACTCTGCACATATACCTTGCCAAGATGGGCAGGAGGAAGATAGAAATCAAGGCCATTAAGGATGACAGGAATCGCTCCGTGTAAGCTTCCAACCTCGGTGGAAAATGCTCCATTGTAGCTGGTACTGATGCTCCGGAACACACAGAACATTCTTGAAGCGCAAAGGGGGGTTATTCAAGAAAGCCCATGAGCTTTCCGTCCTGTGCTCTGTCGACGTTGCCGTTATTATCTTCGGCAACAACAAAAAGCTGTACGAATATTCATCCAGTAATATTCGCGATATACTACAACGATATACCTACGTAAGCAGACCCCAAGAAGATTGTTTTTTTTCGACATCAAGTACTTACCATGATACACCGTACAGCACGGAGGACCTAATGAGCACAAAGGCCCTTCTGATTTCAATGGTGGCGCCGACGACGATGACGACGATGACGAGAATGGGACTAATTCGCAAGGGGAACAACATATGATGTACCAACCAAACCCGCCAGTTTCATACCCCTTTCTCCGGCACACAAGTCTGTCGGACTCACCCCCAGTACCAAACGGCGCGTTCGGGCCTCAGCCGGGACATCAAATGAGCCGCGCCCATACTCCCCAGCCGCCCTTCGTCGCTCGGCCACCATCTGTCAACGATATCCGAAGGCTGAGGCCCGGGCAGCCGGTCCGTCCTGCGGGAGTCGCCCAGGAACTTCAAAATAGGAGCGCCTTTGTGCCATCGCCTCCCATCTACAACCCACAACCACCTGCTACCATGGCGCCTACTCACGGTCTTCCCACACAGTTGCATCCTCAGTATCCCTTCCAGCCGTCTCAACCACCTGCTCATTCCATGCAACAGTTCGAGGACCAGAGAAGATCGCCTCTTCCTCCGACTTTTGTGTCTCAACCATCACCACATCCAGCACATCGCCATTCTACGTCCCCGCCTGAACTTCTCCAACCGCAGATCCCGCAGCAACAAGTACATCGCCATTCTGCCTCTCCTCAAGTTCACCAAGCCCAGCTTCCACAGCAGCCGCAGCGGCTACCGAGCGCAAATATGTCGCCTCCTCCGCCACAGCCAGCTCAACCGCCTCAGCAGCAGCAGCAGCACCGTCACCAGCAGCAACAACCTCAGTCTATGCCTAATCAAAACCTTCAACCTCCTGCACCGCCAAAGCCAGAGTCTATGGAGAGACCACGCCGGCTGATCCCCGCGCTGAATACATCAGTCAAGAACCCTGGGCAGGGCAGTGTCTTTACGCCAATCGAACCAGAGAACAAGTCTATTCTGTCACAGCATTTTGCCGCGTTCCGTCCAGATATCAAGTCCGAGTCGCCAAACAATCGGTCGCAGTCTGTCGATGGCGGTAACGTGTCTAAGCCTAATACCTCTACACCATCTATCCAGCTTTCCAGTGCACATGGCCAGGGGTCAGCTCAAAGAACGAATTCATTGACTGTAATCTCACAATCGACGCTTCCTCCGCCATCCCGGCCCCAACACCTACGTGTGGGAGGTGGGCCATTGCGACCGCGGCTTAAGGTGCAAATTCCGGATGACTCGGATAGCGGAAGCGCTGCTGGATCGGCAAGTTCTCCTCGTGTTACAACCACAACGGACTCCGCTCCACAACCGCTAAAGACCGGCTCTGTACTTCCACCACCGTCACCATCGGCCTCCAATCTACCTTCTGCGGGTGCCTCAGGACCACCTAATCCCTTTGCCCCTCGATCAACAATTCAGCACAACAACAATATGAACATCGACACTCCCGTTTCTGCTCTCCCATCTCGATTTTTGGGCGATCTGCTGCCTAGTCCCAGCAGATTCTATCCTGAATGGGGATATGGCATCAGCGCGGAGAGCAACACGCTTCCTAGTCCATTGAACTTTGCTACACCTGTTAACGGAACCGGGCCATCGTTCTTGAGAGACGACCCCACTCCACTGAAGAGGAAGAGCCCCGAGACGAAAAGTACCGCGCCCGAGAATGACACTGGGAACAATCAAGATGCTAAACGGATGCGGCTCGAATCTTAGGTCGACCCCGTCATCTCTTTCTTCACTTTTTGTTCTTGAACACTTATTGTAACAAAATAATACTCTTAGCATGGTATAGCGGCGTTTGTGATTGACTTTTTACTGGCTTTCATTCCCTTGGGCATGGGTTGTTATTTCACATCTTGGACTTTTCTTTTCTTTTCTTGTTGTCGATCTTCTATTTTTCCTTCTTTCCTCCAAATAGTTTTTCCAATTTTTATAATGGCCTGGTCGGATAGAGCCTCAGGAAGTTTGCGGTCAAGTGGTTTTACGGCGTTGTATGGTGTAAGGCGAGTTAGATCAAGAACTACTTGGTGTATCAAGTTATTGTTGCTTTCCAGCCCTCTTCTTGCCGAAACATAGTGCAACTTCAATGTCACTCCTTCCCTCTTCGTTGCGCTGCTTACAACGTGTTATAGAATCATCACTGGAAAATACATAAGTAGTGCAGTCTTCTAATCCAACCAATGAATTCCAGCTATTCAGATCTAAGTCACATTTTCTTGGGTATCGTGTAAGTCTCATACCATCGTAGGTTTGAAATGCATGCCCCCCCCCCCCCCCCCCCCGGCGCGTGGCCACCAGGCCCCGTCTCTCTTCACATCTGCCTGCCCCCTTAACCATACTTATCGTGTTTCCCCTTCACTTTCATATCTAACATGACCTCATGATAATCACCCTCCCTCCTCGCCCTCTTCAATTTCTTCACTTCGTCCTCCTCCAATCTCCTCCCCACCGCCTCCTCTAGCTCGCGCCGGCTAATCTTCTCCCGCGCCTTCTCCTCCTTCGACGCCTTGATCCGTGGCTTAAACCGCGCCTGCATCCGGATTCGCAGCGTCGAGTCGAACGAGATCTCTGTCGCATCGCCGCGCACCTCAGGTGCCGCGTTAGCTTTTGATGAATTCGATGCGCAGACTGTCAAGAATGTTTCCCGTAAAGTTTGGATTTGGAAGGTGCCAGGCGTGTCAAAGGTCGGGATTATGGTGAAGGATTCGAGGGAGGTGATGGCATCGGAGCTGGCGGTGAAGAGACCGATTTTGTCGCAGCTTAGGTACCTAATAAAGTCGCAGGAAGAATCGATTAATAGTTATTCGGATAGGACGAGTCTTGGTCGGAACCGGGGAAAATGAAGGGGGCTTCTCAGAAGAAACTTTGATTATGACGTACTTCCCATGATGCCCTTTAAACCTATGATTCTCCGTTCCCACAATCTTATTGGCCACCCACACCTGCCTCACATCGTGCGGTTCCGCCGTCGCCGGGTTGCCGTCCACAATATTCTCGATGGGCAAAGTAAACACCTTGCCAGTGACGTCGCAGGCGAGCGCAGTCGGAGGCTCGGTCGGGAGGACGAACATGATGGGACCGGATACGTCGGAGGGCGTGTCGGCAGATACCCAGCTGTCGTCGTGTTCCTCGCCTTCTATTTCTTCATTGGAAGCGGCGGCGGCAGTAGTGGTGATATCGGAGCTGGTGGCTGATGCTTTGAATTGCTTCTTTTGCCGTTCTGGAACGTCATCGTCGTTTTGGTCCGTTGTTGTGCGTTTTCTCTTTTTGGCCTTTTTGTCGCCCTTGAAGGTGAGAGGTTTTACCATATTTGGTGCTCCGCCGGACTTTATGTGGATGTTTTGCGGTCTGCTTTCGAAAGTTATGGTTCAAGGGAGCGCGTGTGTTGACGTGACCGATCCGACCGACGATGATGGAAACAAGACAAGTCGATAGAGGTACCTATCTCTACATACCTAGGTACCCGACCTACCTAGAGGTAGATACCAGTGTAAGATCGAATTCTTATCGATAAGAAGTCCAACGGTCCCTGCCCCATCGTGCTTGCTGGGCAAACCCCGCTTCGGGGTGCGGCAGTGGAAGGCCCGGAAATGCCCGTTGGAGCCGGCCGGGCCCCCACTCATGCCCCATCTATCGGCCGGGCCCACTTCCCTTGTCAAGCAGGTCCGTAAGGCTTTGGCAGACTCTGAGCGGCTCGGGAACTGGTTAGCGTCGGCCATCGACTTGGTTGGTTCCTTGAGTATCTTATAAGATCCAGACGATAGTACGTAAGTTGTTTAGAAACGGAAAATTTTGCGAGGTAATACAAGTCAGACCTTTGGTCCTCTTCTGCGGCGACGGCTTTCCTTGATCGCTTTACTGTAGTATCTGAACGGTTTGTTCAACAGTTTAGCTTTCGACCACTTATAAAAATGGCGCCCATTGCACACGCGGTTACGGTATCTTTGAATGATTTGAAGAACGGTAAATTGCCCGTCACACTCGAGCGTATTACCGCGATCATAAGCCGGCCTCTCTGACTACAGATCAGCGTTGACAAATGTAAAATAACTCTACTAACTTTGCATCTTGACAGGAACTGTCTCCTTAGAGGCACTCGAGGAGGCGTTTGGTCCCGATTCACTGGGCATCCTGGTCGTTAAGGACGTCCCCGCGGAGTTCGCTGAGCTGCGCCACCGATTGCTATCTTACTCTTCGTACCTTGGAAACCTTCCCAAGTCCGAACTTGACCGGCTCGAGAACGAAAAGGCCAAGTATCTGACTGGCTGGTCGCTCGGCAAGGAGACTTTGAAAAATGGCCAGGTCGACAACCTGAAGGGTTCCTACTATGCCAACTGCGCCTTTTATGTTGACCCTTCGTTGTCTTGCGCAAAGCCGACGGAGGAGTTCAACCCCGATAACTTCCCCGAATACCTGTCGCCCAACCTGTGGCCCCAGGAGAGCACCCTGCCTGGATTCAAGCCTACCTTTGAGGATCTTTGTCGCTTGATTATCGACGTTGCCGTCCTTGTTGCGCGTGCCTGCGACCGATTTGCCGAGAAGCAGATTGCTGGCTATCCGGCTGGCTATCTAGAGGGTGTCGTGAAGACCTCGACTACCACCAAGGCCCGTCTCCTGCACTACTTCCCCGAGGAGGCCACCGCGACGGATGCCAGCAAGGAGAGCAACAAGGAGGAAGAGGGCGATGAGGACGACTGGTGCGCCACCCATCTTGACCACGGTTGTCTTACCGGCCTGACCTCCGCCATGTTCGTCGACGAGGCGGCCACGCCCCCAGTTGTCAACCTATCGGTAAATGGCTCGCTACCCCCTCTGGGCGAGCTCCCTACATCTCCAGACCCGAAGGCCGGCCTCTACATCAAGTCCCGCACGGGCCAGACGGTACAGGTCAAGATTCCCCGTGATTGCATCGCCTTTCAGACGGGCGAGGCTTTGGAGCGTATCACGGGCGGCAAGTTCAAAGCGGTGCCGCACTTTGTACGGGGTGCGCGGGCTGAGATGAGCGCCGGGAGGATTGCGCGCAACACGCTTGCGGTGTTCACTCAGCCCAACTTGGGCGATGAGGTTGACATGGAGCAGCACATTACCTTTGGAGAGTTTGCGCGGGGCATCGTTGCCAAAAACACTGTTTCTTGAAGGCCGTGATTTGGGAATCTCGGAAGGATGTGGCAGTTTGAATTGATCTTGATGATTGAACGAATGCATTTTGTACCAAAAAATGTGTAATGATGGTGTTGTAGACATGAAAAGCCTCGGGGCTTTTCGTCGTGTTTACACTTTACCCCTGTTGGTACCCCTTGATTGTCTTCGCGACCCCCTGTCGATGGAAAAGTCGATGAATTCTTGGCATTGATCCGTTAGATGTGTTTATGCAGGGGTTTGCGTCCGCTTGGTCCGGGTTGCCGGCCTGGCAAGTACCTGATGCTGTCCCGGGCTCCCGGCACATGCAGGTTCAACAATGCCACTGGAGCTTCGCAAATTCGCGCTAAAAACTGGTGGACAGCGCCTGCCATGACGCTGCCCGTTGCGCGTCGCCTGACGGGAACGAAGGGCCCGAGAAGGACGGGACGGGACCCTCTTGACCTCGTCCGCCAGAAAGTTGAGATTGTACCTCCGTGACCTCCGACAAGTCTTGCCGCTCTCCGCTGCTTAGGTCTACAATGATTGGAAGGACAACCGGCCGCTAACTGTCCGCCCGGCTGAATTCTCCCCATCACACTTTCTTCCCCGGAAGCCGAAACAGTTTCTTGTCATCCACCCGTTGGCGTGTCCGCTCTTAGCTCTGCTCCTACATCGCGCTCCACCGACTCGCTCGGATCGGATCAATTGGCGCAGTTCAACCTCTCTGACCCGGGTTCTCTTTCTTTTCTCCCATCTCTCTTCCATCCCATCGTCGACTGGTCCCCCACCCACACATACATCCAATCGCGGAAAACGACGACTTGATACGGACCACGGCCCACGTTTCCGCACAATGCTTGCGACCATTCCCGCTCTCTCCGCCGCCACATGGCTCATGCTCTTGGGCACGAGTTCGGCCATGCCGGCGGGCGTTTTTGAGAGTACCGAGACTTCCATCACCGGTTCCTCTACCGCCACTGCCTTTGCGCCAGATATCACCGCCCTCACAGCAGTTTGGACCACTGTCAACGATAGAGGCAGGCCCATTACCGTTACCCCCGTGCTCACTACCATCGACGGTACACCGACCGTGATCTCTGCTGCCCCAGTCCCCACATTTGACGACGAGATCATCATCGACGATGAGTTACCACCATTCGAGAAGACGGGGAGCGGCGCCTTCGAGCAGTGCCATAACAAAGATGGTCCATATGCGCCTTTCTGCGAGCCTTCTCATGGGCAAAACATTTCCATCAACACCGACCAGCACAGTACGTGATTTCCTTCCTTGTCCTTAACCTCCCGAATTACCAGAACAAAGCTGACAACCTCTGCCTCAAAGTTACCTGGGACCCCGAATATTTCGGGCACAACACCTCCATCAAGATCGTTGCCTTCTACGACCAGAAAGGCACTGACCAAGCCTTTGCTACCGACTACATGTCCTCCGGCTGGGGCTACTACGAGTGGAATGTGAAGAAGAATCTCTTCTCTCCTAAGCAGTACAAGAAGCAGCATGCGCTCAACATCACCATTGGTTTCGGCGCCAAGAACCACAACGACCACCGAGTCCACTGGGTCCGCGGTCCCACTGTTACCATTGTCCGTACCCGCCGCTTTCACGAGCACAAGAACGAGCTCCCTGATGGCGCAGCCCTGTACATTGGCATTCCCGCCATTGTCGGTTTCGTCCTGCTCGTGTCATGCGGTACCTGCCTGATGAACAGGAAGCTAAGACGCATTGGCGTTGGTAGCGTCATGGGCCGTGGAAAGGGCTACAACCTCCTTGGTAAGAGCAAGAAGAAGGGTCTTTTCGGAAAGAAGAACAAGGATGAAGGTATCAGACTCATGGGGCGTGACGAGTTTGAGGTGGATGACCGGGATTATAGGGACACCCCTGACATGGAGGACCGTTGGAACCGGTAAAGGGTTGGCTGATTTTCTTTCAGATGAGGAAAAAGCCGTTGGTCATTCCGCTGACCTTTGGCCCTGATTCATCGGGACGGTGCAACTATTGTTGATAGGCACTTGGTGTGGCAGATCCCAGTTTTGCTGTCATGAGGAAGTCTGAGAGGTATTCACCATACACCTTGGATAAATTCCGCGGCGATGGATGATCTTCGAGCGGGCTCATCCCTATTTGAACAGCTAGCCTCTCATGTTGAGGTAGTCCTCAAAGGCAGCTGTCCGCCTCGCTGTGGGGAATTTTGGACAGCGCTGCCTATTAACGGATATGACTGGCGACGAGTAATGAGAGGCGGCACGAATCACGCCGAAAGACAGGATCATGCCCTAAATATGGTATGAAACCTCTAACGTTGGATAATGCAATATGTAATGCTTTAGGTATGAGTGGACATAGAGTCTATCGGATATGAGATGGGGGAAGGCAAAAAAGGACCTCGAGCCAAGACACAAACCTGTAAATACGTAATATTAACATATGACATCGAATATCCGATGAAGCCCACTGGCAACTTACGCGACATTGTCGATTCAGTCTGTTCGTTCGTTACATACGCCCAAAATGCTCTTGACCTATTATATGGGCGTCTGAGGGAAGTCATCTGAGGAAAAACCCAAGAACATCACAAATGGCCATGTAGAGGCTCCATGCTAGGTGCATGCAACATGCAGTGCTGAGAGCCTCTCTATCTTACTGCGTTGCCTGGTTACTTCTTACCACATATTCCGAATCCAAAAGGCAACTGGCAGAGCCTCAATGGAAGAATACACCTCCCCAGACGTGTCTCTCCTGAGCAACTGTCCACTAAGTAGCCCTTTGTCAAGCCAAGTTACGGATGGAAAATTGAAAGATGTCTGTGTGCTTGAGACCCCTTCGACACGGGTAAAGGGTAACCAACCGCAAGTTACACCATGAGAAGGGAAACAGTGTCAAATCATGGCAGGCACTTGGTAAATAGAACGACACGATAACCGGCATACTTGTCCCTCTCAACCTATTACCTGAGTGTGTCACAGGCCATCCCGGCATCACGGTGAGCAACGAGCTGGCGTGGATGGAGTTTAGAACTGAACATTGTTGGCTCGAATCACATCCAGCTCAGGCCTCGAATGCTGGCGTGCTTTGACGTCCACCTAGTAGCTATGCGGGTGATACGGAAAAGGCTTGTCGGAATGAGTGACTCAGTCTCACTGAGTGACAGTTCCAAATTATTAGAGTGAGGTGATGGTGATAGCATCCAGTAGATCGAGGATCAGTGTTCCAATTGCCCATTTCATCACAGCCCTTCAATGCGCGCCTTCCACTTACGAGTTAAATTATCGGATCACACCATATCCACGTGAACCGTCTAATACCCAATGGGTTATCCATCAAGGTCCCCTTGGTATCAAATTTAGGAAAGTACGACGTACGTTCATTTGTGAGGCATGAGTGAGTTTTGAGCAAAAGAAACTCATTCAAGGAAGCTGCGTCGGGTAAAATTTTGGCATCCAACCTCAAGCGAAACAAGGAACCTCAACGTAGCTGAGAATCTATCGTTAACAGCCCTCAGGAACAGAAGAACTTAAGCGTTTCAAGCTACCTACTTTATGATCTCCATTTCTGTCTTACCTATTATCAATTCTATTCACCGTCCCATCATCCGATTCCTATGTGAATCAACTCGAACTCGCCAACCGCTATGGAGGGACCGAAAACCCATAATGTTTCCTTGGAGGCGTTTGAACATAAAGCCTCCCCCTCCGAACCCACTCTCTACCCTCTTCCTCTTTCAACCTCATTCACCTTTGACGGCGAAGCTAGCAACCCAGCCTTGGGGACCACGCTATTAACCGGGCAAAAAAGCCAGAATCGTGGGGGAACCGCAAAAAAGCATCACTCTCGGAGACCATCACGGTCAATGTTCTTTGACCCCATGACACCAACTTGCGACGACGAAGACCCATACCCCCTGGCTGGATCATCAAGGGACCAATTTCTGCGCCTGCATTCTTCGACATCGTCACTTGGCCGTCGGAACTCCAGCCTCAAACCCCAAGTAACGCCGGTTGGAGAGCAACGGTATCCGATGACGGAAAGCATCAAGGCCAGACCTTCTGCAAGCCAGCATGGCTCCGAGGATGTGCAACGCCAAGCAGCGGATAGCACGCGGCGCACATTTGAGCCCATGACACTCGATGAGAACCCGCCCGTAAACGGCGAGATGGAGCCAACCATAGACTATGTCACAGGCTTGCGTCTTGTCTTACTCATGGCGGGCCTTATGCTCGGTATGCTCCTTTTATCAATTGATCGTACTGTTATATCTACGGTAGGTGACCCGGAACTGACGAGTGAAGTGAACGACCCGGAACTTACACCGTTCGAACAGGCCACGCCCTATATCACGAAGCGATTTCATTCAACATCAGACATAGGTTGGTATGGCTCGGCATACATGCTCACATCGTGTGCTTTCCAGCCAGTCTTTGGACGCATCTTTATGCTGTATTCGGTCAAGTGGTCATATCTCACTGCCATGATTTTATTCGAACTTGGCTCCCTCCTCTGCGGACTGGCACCAAACTCGGCGACCCTGATTGTTGGGCGGGCTATTGCGGGTTTCGGCAGTGCTGGTATTCTGATCGGCAGCTTTATCATCGTGACGATGGCTGTTCCGCTGCAGAAGCGTCCCGTCTTCACGTCCGTGGTTGGCTTGATGTAAGTGTCCCAGCCCTGACTGCCCTTGTTTCTGAATAAGATCTCATATGTTGACCACATCTAGGTTCGGTGTCGGGGCCTCGGTCGGCCCTCTCCTAGGTGGTGTCTTTACGGACCTTGTGGTAAGTCTTCCTTACACTCCTGCATAACAGATATTCTAATCTTATTCAAAGACGTGGAGATGGTGCTTTTATATCAACTTGCCGCTTGGAGGTGTAACCATCATCTGCTTGATTCTGTTCTTCAAACCCCACCAAAGCAATCGCGACGCCGGAACATTCCTTGACAAATTTAAGGACCTTGACATTGTGGGCAATATCCTCATTCTGGGCGCTTTCATCATGCTCTTCCTGGCGCTTGAACATACGACTCGAGGCTTTTCATGGAACCACCCACTCATCATTTGGCTTTTAGCCGGTTGTGGTATTACCGCCATTATATTCATGGTTTGGCAATGGGCTAAAGGGGATGCGGCATTGATCCCCCCTCGCATCATCAAGCAGCGTACGGTGGCGGCATCATGCGGCACGGCCTTCATGATATACGCGATCCTGATCAACATGACCTTCTTCCTCCCGATCTGGTTCCAGGCCGTCAAAAATGACACTGCCATGCGCTCAGGCGTGCACATGGTCCCGTTCTTTGTAACCCAGTCGGCCTTCTCACTGATTGCAGGAGGCATCGTGTCTAAAACTGGTTATGCAACCCCTCCAGCAGTAATCGGCTCTGCTATTGGCACTGTTGGCCTCGGATTGCTGACCCTGTTGAGGCCCGGCACAGGAACAGCCCAATGGGTAGGCTATGAAGTTTTAACGAGCGCTGGCTTTGGCCTGTCGATTCAACAATGCTTCACAGCCGTGCAGACAGTACTTAGCGAAGAGGACGTGGCGTTGGGAACTGCGGCCGTATCCGCTGCTCAGTCGCTTGGAGGCGCTATCTTCGTGTCGGTAGGAAACAGTGTATTTCAGCACCAGCTGCTCAAGGCAGCCGACGCCAACTTGCTCCCTGGAGTCGACATCAAGCAGGTGATCGAGGCGGGTGCGACGGCGTTCCGCGACTTGATATCGGCGGAGCAACTGCCCGCCATGATTAGGGTTTACAATAAGGCGATTCAGGCGGCGCTCATCATCCCCATTCCGCTAGGAATACTCGCAACTCTTATTGCGTGCTTCATCGAATTCAGATCGGTGAAGAAACCCATAAGGACCAACGAGGAGTCAGGCACATGCAGCACTGAACTTTCCGACCAGAGGCCAGGTACGAGCGCATGAATCTATAAGGAGGTGTGTAAGAACTCCGGGTCCAGGCGCAAGGGATTCTTAGGGCGATTCATTAGCAGAATCTCGGAGGAGTAAATAGGTTCAAGAGGAACAACATATGGTTTAGAAGTAGGGGGTAGGTCAGCATGATTGCCGAATATTCCAAGCAATGTTCTGGAGGTCAGCTCAATAATTTGTCTGGAGGGATTTATGTCACCCTGCGACCTGAATTAGCGTATTCTGTGATGGTTTATGAGGGACGACTGAAGTCAATAGTAACTGTTGTTGTGAAGGGTGTTTCTTGTTGTTGGGGCAAGAATGACAAGTCGATATGCAAGTGGTGCGTTCAGGGGAACAGTAAACAAATGCAGCCGAGCTCCTTCAAGTGCATACCTTGAGTACTGTAATGTCTGATAGATACTACATCAACAATGACAGGCAATGTGTTGAGGGTTGCACCGGATCCGGAGCCCGAACAGCCGGCCGCGAGGTGCACATGTGATTGATAAAGCTTCCGAGTCTGAGATACATGCAGAATAACGATATGAGTCTACTGCGTTACTAAACGCGCTTTGAAGTCCTCAGCCTGTCACAAGTTGGAGCTTGTAAATACATAATGTTGCATAGCGGTAAGCAGCATCGCTTTCCCATGAATTTGCATATCTAGGGACCAAAGACCTCTCCTCTGTTTGCTACTTGCTCTCATTCCAGCTGCCTTTTTCGGATTCAAACAGCAGCCATCAACGGCAAAGACAAACTGTTGACGTATCCAAAACGTTAGTATCTGAATATTTGGCAAGAGATCTCACTCTCGTGTAATTGTAAGGAAGTCTTTTGTTACCACGGTGACCACAGGTGCACGGTTAGATTCGGACTGCCTGTTTCGTCCGTTGAGCGACTTCTATTTGACAGTCTCGGCCTGTCAGCCCTTTTGTTAGTGTGGAACCTGAAGACCGGCCAGAGTGGGGCTCTTTCTTTCAAGCTCCACTAACATTTCTCCAACGATCGCTGCTCACTTTGCGACTCTTCTACCTGCTCGTCATTGCTTTTCCCGCTCTACCATCTTCATTCGCAACATCGTTCAGGACAAGCTCACTCGTCCTTGCTAAGCCCTGGCTCGACATCTATCTGACCTCGTAGTAGAGGGAGATTTCCGCATACCCAATCGAAGCCGCCGATTACCCGACGCGAACGCTATCGCTTGCGCATAGTCACACACGGCCAGCCTAACGTCATCTCCCACTCACACCATGGATGACCGAGAACTCGCCGCGCGCATCAAGGCGCTCTCCAAGGCTGTCACCAGCGACCCCCCTGCGACGGTCATCAAACTTTTGGAGGAATTGAAAAGAGATGCAAAGCCGACCGAGGAACAGCTTCGCGTGAGTCTTGCTCTGCCCTCCCATCAGCGCAGAGCGATCTATGTGAGCGGTATAAGTTCTGACAACTTTGCCCGTCCTAGTCGACAAAAGCAGGTGTGACCGTGGGAAAGCTGCGAGCCAATCCCAACAAGGATATTGCCCGTATTGCCAGTGAGATCGTCAACAAGTGGAGGAAGCTCGTCGAAGCTGCGAAGGAGGCGAAGAAGAAGAGCCAGGCCGCCGCGGCCTCCGGTGCCAGCTCCCCAGCACCCATTGCATCCCCGGCGCCCGCATCGTCCGTGTACAACAAACCCTACACTGGTGACGTCGAGAAGCGCCATTTCAAGACAGACAAGGTCGACATCAACCGGACCTCGAGCCAGACGCGCAACAACACCATCGGTGTGCTCTACAACGGCCTCGCTTACCGAAGAACTGAGTCGATTGAGGAAGTCGTCAAGCGTGCCGTCGAAGTCGAGAATGCCCTCTTCAAAGCTTGCAAGGGCGAGAACCAGGAGTACCGGAGTAAGGGTCGCACCCTCTTTACCAGTCTGAAGCGTAAGGACAACGCTGCGTTGGGACGACGAGTCATGTCGGGCGAGCTACCGGTCGAACGCCTTGTCGTCTTGTCGGATAAGGAGTTGGCCTCGGAGGAACAGCGTGCTAGGGATGAAGAGCTGGAGAAGGAGAACATGAAGAAGGCCCAGGTACCCATGGCGGAGAAGTCGATCAGTGATGCTCTGAAGTGCGGGAAGTGCGGACAGAGGAAGGTGTCGTACAGCCAGGCGCAAACACGGTCGGCTGATGAGCCTATGACGACCTTCTGCGAGTGCACAGTTTGCGGAAACCGCTGGAAGGTATGGTTGATACACACGCTTTCTTTGACGGAAGTCAATTTGATCGCTAACAGTTGCATGTTTAGTTCTCCTAAATGGCGGGGCACAACAAGCTCCTTCATTACATTCCTCTTGGCATGGCTTGGGCCGCGGAGTGTGCGTCTTTTTTTCTGGCTCGATATGTTACTTTGAAGGAGAAATCCGCCTGTTGCACGCTTCGTTGGCTGATAATTCATGACTGGATCACATTCACGTTTGGAAGCTCATTTGGCAGCAATATGAGATTGAGGTGTCTCAAGAATATCCCTCCACCTAGAGAGCACAGTGAGAGAGGAGGAGGGGGTGGGGAGGAGCGGAAATGGAAAACAAAGTTACTCGAAGACGGAAGACTCTGTACCGTCGGGAACTTCTTCAAACATCGGAGTATGGATCATCTAACTTTTCTTATTATTTTTATACCCCAGCGAAGAGGTGAGCGATGAATCACTAGCTACTTCATGACTTGGAAAGAGGTAGATATTGAGACGGGCAACGACCTACTTGGACCTCCCACCACGCATTAGCAGTAATATAACCGTTAAGAGGCCATATAGCCAATATGGCTCAACAAACCTTTCTTTGTGGACCTGTTGGACTCTCGGATGAGATACGATTAGAGCATGTCACATGTTTGATGACAGCAGCGAACTCAGCGAGCCTGACTCAGCAGGCACAATATTTACGTTGTTCAGTCCGTCTCAATTCCTACCTCTTCAATTCCTCTAGCCCCAACTCCGCAAAAAGATCCTCCGCTTGCGCCTGGGTATCGTTTTCCAGCCCCATATCGCCAATATGCTTCCAGAACTTGCTGAGATGTCTATTGCCCGAGTCGCACAATAACGTCACCACCCGACTGCCTCTGGGTAGTTTCATGGCTGTCACCACCGCCGCCACGCAGTTGACAGCCGTGCTGCTGCCGCAAAAAATGCCGTCGTGCTCCACCAACCACCGAGCCATCCGGCAGGCCTGCTCATCTGTCACTCGCACGGCATCGTCAATCAGCACCCGCCCGGACTCAAAGTTCTCCGTGATGCGGTTGATGCCGATACCCTCCACCATCGTGTCCACCTGCTGACGCCGCCGTGTACCTTCCCGCTCCGTCGACGAGTACATGACGCCGTGGCGGATCTTGTTGAACAGCCCGCTGCCCTGCGGGTCCGCCAATACCACGCGCGTCTCCCATAGGTTCTTTACCTCCTTCAGGTACTTGGCCACGCCGGCGATAGTGCCGCCCGTGCCGGCACCAGCCACAAAGGCGTCCAGCTGCCCGCCCGTCTGGCGGTAGATTTCCGGTCCCGTGGTCTTGACATGTGCTTGGTAGTTGGCCGTGCTCTCGAACTGGTCAGCAAAAAAACCGACGCTGCCGTCCGCGTGCACCGCCTCGTGCTCGCGCGCCCGCCTGCGGGCTAGGTTGACAAAATGATCAGGAGACGTGATGGGCGCCGGGTTGACCCGCTCCACCGTCGCGCCCAGGTGGTGCAGCAGCTGCGACTTCTCGATCGCCATGTCGTTCGGCATGCAAATGTGGCACTTGTACCCCTTTGCGCGCGCCAGCGTCGCCAGCGAGATGCCCGTACTGCCCACAGTCCCTTCGTAAATGGTATCGCCGCGCCCGGGCACAAGCAGCCCGCGCTCCTCGGCGTCCTGGATCATGTTGAGTGCCACTCGGTCTTTGGGGCTGCCACCGGCGCCATTGAGAAGCTCGGCTTTGGCGAGGATGACACAGCCTGTTGCCTCGGACAGGCTGCGGATCATGACTAAGGGGGTGTTGCCGATGCAGCCCTCGATGCCCTCGACCCAGTCGAAACTGCTGTTGATATTGCTTGTTACTTCCTCGTGGTCTTCTAGTCGCACCGGACCGAAGATGAGACTCTCGCGGTGTACCCGGTTGGCGGTGGGTACTACGACGCCATAATCGCCATTGGATCGGCTTAGGTTGCGGTTCCTCCGCCGTTGGTACCGATTCTCGAGTTCGGGGTAGCAATCCTTGAAGCCAAGGGTGACGAGGATACCCGCGGCGAAGGCGGCTGTGAGAGCTACCGTGCCGTAGACACGGGGATGGTCGCTTATTGACATGTCTTGGCGGTTGTTTGGTGTGAAGGGAATCTAGATTTATCTCATAGTAGGTGGTGTCTCGTCAATGCCGTCTGGTGTGGGTGGTGATGTAGTTAGATTTGCGCCGTTGGCGCTGTTGCCCGGACAAAGAATTCGGTTGTTGAGTTCTTTGAGATGTAAAGGCACAGAAGCCGAAATTCACAAGAACAGAAAATGTCGGGAAAATGAAGTGTGAGGGTGTCTTGTCTGATGTGGTCGGGTTGTCCTCAAAAGTTGTGAGGTTTTTGCTGCGAAGTTGCTGTTGATGTCATGCAACGATGGATCTTCAGAGCATGGTGTTATCGATTCAGTCGCTCGTCCCACGGCAGGCAGGGAAGAACCTTTGGCTCCGGTGACCGGCCTCGCCTCCGCTGAAGCCGGTCAGATCGGAAGCCATGAGGCCTGTCACAGATAGTGTAGTGTCGTGAATCGGCACTTCCCCGTTGCTGCGGGTCACTGGTGGTAAGCGCCGTTGGGGGCAACGGACAGCGAGAGCCGAGCCATCCTCCAATGTCGTGTGCCCCTGGCCTGGGCCGCCACCACCGCTGTCCCGAGCGCAACTGTCAGCTAGTTCTAAAACCGAATGAGGAAGTGAGCTCGGGCCACCCCGCAAAAGCTCCAGGATCCATTCCCCCTCCCCCATCAACCTCCACCTGTCGCCCCGTGTCCCCTTGACGATTCCACTCCACCACATTTACCGACCCAGGTATACGGTACTTCAACCTTCCTTCTCACTGGCGCGGGGAGTTCAGTTGGAGCAGGTGGCGATACGAACAGACCGTCAGCAACCTCCGGGATACTGCCCGGGCTTCATTCTCTCGCCCACCAACAATCTGGACTCACCCGGTGTCAGTATGGACTCGCAACTCGTCACCCAGCTGTTCAAACAGCTTTTTCGCCATCATCCGGCATGTCAGTCACAGAAGCATCTCCGCCATCTTGCGCCCGCGACAGCCCATAATGGACATCGAGTACAGCAATACCACAGACGACAGCAGCGACGACCATACTCGAGCCAGCGTCGTGGCGCGAGCTCTCCCGTGGGGGATGAAAGCCAATGGCAGCAGCGGACAAAGATCCTGAATCAGGACATGACAGAGGAGTACAAGAGAGCGCCAATGGTGACAGCGGCCGAGCTCTGGGGCAGGAAACAGAGACCACGTCGGGTCAAGATGCTCCTAAGGGACTTTATCGAAGGTTGGTTGCCGGTCCAAGACAAAAACATGGCGCATTACCCGAGGAGTTGAGAAACCCACCTACCTAGCTGCGACAGCGCAAAGCCCAAGAATGAAAAAGAAAAGAAGAGAAAAGAAAAGAAAAAAGAGAAGCACGAGACATTGACATTCTGTTTTCCTTTCGCACAATGCTGCAGACAGCCTCTACAATCCCAACTACGGCTACTTCTCCAAGCAAGTCACCATCTTCACACCCGGCGAGCCCTTCGACTTCCCCAACCTCCGCGACGAGACCGAGTTCCAGAACGTTCTTTCCCAGCGCTATGTCGATTTCGAGGACAAGCTCGACGAGGTCGCTCCCTCGGACACGCGACAGCTCTGGTACACGCCGACGGAGCTCTTCCGCCCTTACTACGGCGAGGCCATTGCCCGCTACCTTGTGGCCAACTACAAACTGACGACGTACCCGTACCACGACCTGATCATCTACGAGATGGGCGCCGGCCGCGGCACGCTCATGCTCAACATCCTTGACTACATCCGCGACATGGACCCGGACGTGTACGCGCGCACGCAGTACAAGGTCATTGAGATCAGCGACTCGCTGGCCAAAGTCCAGAACTCGACGCTGATGCGGTCGGCCGCCGGCCGCGGCCACCTCAACAAGGTGGACATCATTAACCAGTCCATCTTCGACTGGACGCAACCGGTCCCGTCCCCATGCTTCTTCCTGGCGTTCGAGGTCTTCGACAACTTTGCCCACGACGCCATCCGCTACGACCTGGCGACTGAGACGCCCATGCAGGCCGTCGTGCTGATCAGCGAATCCAACGACTTCTTCGAGTTCTACAGCCCCGTGCTGGATCCGGTGGCCGCGCGTTACTTCCGGGTGCGGGACGCGGCCACTGGCGGGCGGTATAAGGTGCCGTACCCGACCACGAAGCTGGGCAAGTGGGTTTCTTCCATTAGGCCGCTCCGCAGCACGATGAGCGAGCCCGAGTACATCCCGACGCGGCTGATGCAATTCTTCGAAGTGCTGAGCAAGTACTTTCCTGCGCATCGGCTGCTGACGAGTGACTTTCATTCGCTGCCTGATGCCGTGCCCGGGGTGAATGCGCCGATTGTTCAGACGAGGTATCAACGGCGGCCGGTGCCAGTTACTACACCCTTGGTGAGTTTCATGGTCTTCAGTTTATCCTCTCGTGCCATACTAACCAGAGCACTGTCTCGTCCACTAAAGGTCCATCAAGGCTATTTCGATATTATGTTCCCCACAGACTTCCGCGTGTCTGAACTCGTCTACCAGGCCATCACTGGCAAGCTGTCCCGGGTCATGTCTCACGAGGAGTTCATGCGCAGCTGGGCCTACCTGGAAGAGACGGAGACGCAAAGCGGCGAGAACCCGCTGCTTAAATGGTATAAAAATGCCAGTGTTATGTATACTGTATAAAACTAGATGGATCAGGTTTAGGAGACATCTTATCATCTATGTATGAAGAAAGTGGGAAAGCAGGCCCTTGTACATTGATTGTGTACTATTTATATCAATTGAGAGCTGTAAAGTTGGAGACTTGCATTCTTTTGCCCATGTTCTTATTCCGCTTATATAGGTAGCTCCCTACTTGCCCAAATAAGAATACGACACCCGTTAACGTGCTGTGTGTGTGATATTCCGCAAGTCCCTGTCATGAAGAGGAAGATGACCTGCACTTAACTGACATTGTCTACGTTCTTTTCATTTTCTTAAGTTTCTTTCGTTTTCATTTGTTTATTTTTCTTTTCGTTTCATGAAATCGCTTGCTCCATCACCCATTCTAGACCGCTAAGAAATACACAACTTGGTTTTCATGTATAGAGCCAAGTGAAATGACGAACTCTTTTCTGGATATCAACGAAACGGGGAGACGACACAAGACAATATCACTTGATGCTACTCCAACACATAGCTCTTTATTTTCTTTTCTCAGATGCTAAGATCCTTGAGCTTCTCAGAGAGCCACTCCTCGGCCTTCTTGACGGCCTCCTCGAGCTTCTCGGGCTCGGCACCGGCACCTTGGCGACTGGGCTCCTTGCCACCAGTCTTGCCGCCGATGACGGCGCTGACGGCCGATGTCCACTGCTCGGCGGTGACACCCTTCGAAGAGAGGGCCTGTAGAGTTGAGATGGTTAGCATCGTGTAGGATCGAATGGTCTTATGTAGTGAGGGACGATCAGTGAGAACTTACAGTGCCGACATAAACACCGTGCATAACTTGGTCGTCCTTGCTACCAGCAAAGACGTAGACGGACCTCTCCTTGTCCTTAGTCTTGTAGTAGGTGATAACGTCCGAGATGGCCTTGGCGTTAGCGGAGATGGGAAGGTGGCCAACAAACACCTTGGACTCCTTGTTTTCGTCCTTCTGGAAGTGGCTGGCGACGGTGTCGAGGGCAGTCTTGCTCTCAGCCTTCTGGCGCTTCTTCTGCTCGTCGACGACCTCTTTTTGAATCTTGGTAAAGCGGGTGCGGAGCTCCTCCTTGGTAAGGACGGAGATGGTGAGACCGTCAAGCTCGACGGCGGCGGCCTTGATCTCGGCAGCCTTCTGTGGGCCGTAGGCGAGGGCGTTGATGTGATTGAGCTTCTCGTTGAAGACCTGGGCCTCGCGCTGGGCCTGGTGGGCACCCTCGCCGGTGTAGGCGACGATGCGGCGGATGCCCTTGGCAATACCGCTCTCCTCGACGATGATCAGGTCCTTGATCAGACCGGTGTTCTCGACGTGAGTACCGCCGCAGAACTCGACGCTGATCTTGCGCCACTCGGGGTTCTTTGGGTTCTTGAGCAGCTCGTCAACCTCCATGCCGATAGAGACGACGCGAACGGGGTTGGGGTAGGTCTCGCCGAAGACGGCACGGACACCCTCGATCTCGCGAGCAAGGTCGAGATCGACATCCTTGGAATAGGCCTTAAGGTTCTGACGAATGTAGTGGTTGGACAGATCCTCAATCTTCTTGATGTCCTCCAAAGAAATAGCAGCCTTGTGGCTGAAATCGAAACGGAGCTTGTCCTGGTCGACCAGCGAGCCCTTCTGGTTGATCTCGTCACCAAGAACCTCACGCAGAGAATGGTTCAGGATGTGAGTACCAGTGTGGTTGTTGCGGATAGGCTGACGGCGGAGCTCGTCGTATTCACAAACGACCTCATCACCCTCGGTAAGCTCACCGTACTCGAGAAAACCGTTGTGGACAATGTAACCACCATACTCCTGAACGTCAAGGACCTTGAACTCGGCAACGCCATCGATAATGATGCGGCCGGTATCGGCGACCTGACCACCGGACTCGGCGTAGAAGTTGGTATTGTCAAGCAGGAGACCAAGTGGGGTCTTGGCAGGAAGATCCTTGCTGGACTTAAGAAACTCCTTGCCGTTGAAGATCAGCTGGACCTTGCCCTTGGTATCACCCTTAAGGAACTTGGCATCTGAGTTGGGGCGGGGAATGTTAAGAGAAGTCTCGAGCTCAGCGATCTGGTGAACGTTGAGCTTGGCGAATTCCTGGACAGCCTCCTTGACGGCCTTAGAAGCCTCTCTGGCCTTCTCGCGGGCCTCGTTGACCTCAGCCTCATCAATGGTAAGGCCACGCTCCTCAGCCATAAGCTTAGTAAGATCCTCGGGAAAACCGAATGTGTCGTAAAGTCTCCAGACATCGGCACCGGAAAGCTTCTTCTCACCGCTCTTGATGGCAAGAGCAGCGTACTTCTCGAACTGCTTCTCACCTCGGTCAAGGGTGACAGCGAAAGCAACCTCCTCCTCGTCAAGGATCTCCTTGATGTCGGTCTGCTTCTTCACAAGCTCAGGGAACTGCTCGCCCATCTGCTCCACCAAGGCGGGGAGGATCTTGGAGAAGAAGGTGCCAATCTCAGCGTTGAAGTACTTCCTGGCATAGCGGACACCTCTGCGGAGGACACGGCGAACGACATAGCCGCGTCCGACGTTGTTGGGAGCAGCGCCGTCGGCAATGGCGAAAGAAAGAAGACGGATATGGTCGGCAATAACACGGTAGGCGGTATCGATACCATCGACGTCGTCCTTGCCATACTTGTCGGTGTATTCCCTGGCACCGGTAACTTCCTGGATCTTGGTGAAAAGAGGAGTGAAGATATCGGTGGCGTAGTTGGAGGTTTTGTCCTGGAGGGCAGATACCAGTCTCTCGAAGCCCATACCGGTATCGATGTGCTTCGCAGGGAGAGATTTGAGAGACTTGTCGGCCTGTCTGTCGAACTGGATGAAGACAATGTTCCAGACTTCAACCACTAAGGGGTCGTCCATATTGACGAGGTGGGCGGCATTCCGGCCGCCTCCGACCTTGTCGTAGTGGATTTCGCTGCAAGGGCCACAAGGGCCCTGGTCACCCATCTCCCAGAAGTTGTCCTTCATGTTACCGGGGATAATGTGGTCCTCGGGAACACCAACCTCAAGCCAGAGGTTCTTGGCCTCAAGATCCGGCTCGAGACCAAGGTCTGGGCTGCCCTCGAAGTATGTGACATAAAGTCTCTGAGGGTCCAGCCCATAGACCTTTGTCAGAAGCTCCCAAGACCACGCAATGGCCTCCTTCTTAAAGTAATCGCCGAAAGACCAGTTGCCCAACATCTCAAAGAAAGTCTGCCGACATATGTTAGTGCAATGAGCTCGCTATATATAGACCGCGTCGGTACGTACGTGGTGGTAGCTGTCTTTGCCGACATCGTCGAGATCCTATTTAGAGTTATGTCAACAATTTGCTCTTGGTAGGTCAAGCATTGGAGGAGGGAGCCGGGACTTACATTGTGTTTGCCACCCGCGCGAATGCACTGTTCCAAAGGGTCAGTAATGGGTTTTCAACAGCCATATCGAAGCGGACGACAAGATATCACCTTTTGTGTGTCAACCGCACGCTTCAGCTGGGCCATATCCTCCGTCTTGCCAATGGTGCCCAGGAAGATGGGCTTGAACTGATTCATGCCCGCATTTGTGAATAGCAATGTGGGGTCATTGTGAGGGACGACCGACGACGAGGGGACTGCGCACGAAGGCGAAGATGGTCAGCGCATTGCAAATAAAGGTACCATGTTGAACGGTAGTGTATAGGGATGGCAATGAAAGCATCGCGGCGTGTCTTAGCCCATTGTTGCGGCGGGCGCATGCAGGTGAAGCATGGGAATGCCCTCTCAGGTTTCTCTTTTCTTTTTTTTTTTTTTCTTTTCTCCCGCCGCGACGGACAGGACAGGGCAGCAGAGGGGAGGGGATGAGGGGTAGAGGTAGCCAGCAATCATGTGGCGGAGGGATGTTTGCATACCGACATTGTGACCCCGCTCTGCAAAAAAGTCCAAAAAGGTCTTGCGGACCTGGACACCAGTCCACTGAGAATCAGAAGCCATGACGGGCAGAGTTGAAGACTGAACAAGTGACGACGAAGAAGAAGAAGAAAAGGGCCGCGGGGAGGAAGACGCGGATCCGGTCGAAACGCGCTCAAGGGCCGGGAAAGTGGAGGAGTTCGCGGTAGTGAGCGTGGTGCGTGTGCGTGTGCGGGTCGTGGTTGCCGTCGGTGTTGTCGGGGTGCAGGTGGTGAGCGGCTTCGTGGACTTGCAGGGCGTGGTGACTGCTCGAAGATTCTCGAGCGAGGAGGGCGGGATCGGCCTAGTAATAGTCCTGCCGCGATACTTGTGGAAGGTTCGTGAGCAATGACTCAAGCCCTTAAAGGCTGGGGGCAGCCTCGTGCCACTGCAGCTCCTGCTCCCGCTGGTTCCAGGCCCATACGCAGAGAACCAGCGCAACGACAATCCCAACCTGTTTGTCACAAGACTCTTCATTCTTTACCGAGTTTCGTCTTTCTCCCACCAAAAGTCGGCCAGCGAAACCCAAGAGCCTAGTCGCAGCGCTAGTAGCTAAATTAAACACCACCTTTATCGCGGCAACAGATCTGACAATCTAGAACCTACCGCTTACCTCGGGCTGGACCGGCTGCTATCTCTCGCCAACCCAATCTCAATCAGGAAGCTCAACGCAAGGTGATTGGAGCAAATCATCCAGGTCACCCGGAGCCTCTACACTAAGGTATCCAATACCCTGCAGCTAGGTATCTGCGCTACCGGTCGTGCGGGGGAGAGAGACGGAAGTTTCAAACGTCAGTTGCGGTCTGGAGGAGGGTTAAAAGACGGAGAAAGAGGAGGTTCGAAGGCGAAAATTGGCCGCGGGGAGAAAATGATGCTGACCCATTTCCAATCTGGACCACTACCACACCTGGTTGCGCCCACCACGCCCACCACCGCCAGCACCATGGAGATGCCTGGATATGGATACGGTATGATGAACCACCATCAGCAACAGCAACAACAGCAACAACTCAACTATCACAACAACGACAAAAACAACAACAACAACAACAACATCAGCTCCAACCAATTCATTCGGCAACAATATGTTGCACCTCAACCAGCACCATGTTCGCGGAAGCGCAAAGCCGATGCACAGCCTGAACACGAGCGCCTCTCGAAGCGCATGAGCCTGTTGAATCTGGGTATGTTCCGCCACCGCCACCGCTCCTCACTTCCCTTATCTCCTATCATATCAGTGACATCATGTCTTCCGTTCCACCGCTCAGTCACTAACACGACCCAACCCACCACAGAACACGGCGGCCATAGGTTATACGTCTCCGTCGGGAACCCACAAGCGCAAAACTCCTTCTCATCTTCATTCCCATCTACTACTACACCTCCCACCACATCGCCATCATCATCTTTATCGTCCCAGACCAACCAATACCCTACCGCCGCCGCCGTAGGTCAAGATGACACCGAATTCATGCAAGTCGACAACACCAAGCACAAAGTGTACATCTACAACATCGAAGATGAGCTCTCCTCTGAGAGCGAGGCCGAACAAGACGGCGGCAAGCTGATTTTCCTCCCGGATATCGAGAGTCACCTGCGACAGAACCGCATCCCGGCCCAGGTGCTCAGTGCCCAGCCACTGTCTGTAGAGTCGGATATCCTGAACAAACAACTGGTGCTCTACAGCGTGCCAGCGTCCCTTACGGTTCCTGAGGAGCAGGATAGCGTGCGCAAAGCCATCCTGGAAGCGCGCGCCCGCATTCGTGAGAAGCATCTGGTGGAGAGTCAACAGCTTCAGCAGCAGCAAATGCAGCAGCAGGTCAACAACACACTGACGGATACGGTGCAAATTATTCATCCCGGGTCACTGCCGCAGTTTGATACTGGTGCTGCTGCTGGTGATGAGGTTGATGATGATGCTATGGAGCTTGACTAGACTAGACTGTACAGAAGTCTGGTCTTTCCACGTGCGATCAGATCAAAGCAGGGCAGCGCACTAGCAGTTTATTCAGGTTTGTCTGGCGTTTGAAAATGGATCTGGTACACACAAAGGGATGGGCATGGTAAAAAGGTCCCCATGAAACGGATATACGGGGAACAAAACAACAGCGAGGCGTTATGGCGTTTGCCTTTTATTTTCAAAGGCATGAGGTTCAGACACGCATGATGACACCTCGAAATTGGGAGACATTGCCTGGATTTGTAAGTTAACTTGGAGCTTCATCAATACCATCTATCAGTCTACTCTGGCTATCTCGGCTGAGCTCAAGTGATCGCCACGGTCCTTAAGGTTGTTCCTTCATTCTGGCACAATCAATGCAAATTAAACATATAAAAATAAGACAATGCTATACCTGCCAATCCAACCAACCATCTAATTATCCTAGCGGACGGATGCCAAAATTATGAGCGAACCCCAAACCGACGAAGCCTTCCTACCCAAGAGAAAAAAAGAGTTTGTCCAATCACTCAATCACGAAAAGGATTCGTTCCACCCGTTCCCTGCTGCCTTATCGGCGCCTGTGCCTGTGTCTGCGCCTGTGCTTGTATCGGCGGTGGTGGTCCAGGCGGCGCTTCATATCGCTCGTTGCCATCGCCGCCAGTTCCAGAGGTTGGTGGCACTGTTGTTGACACCGGCGGTAGCACTGGCGCCTGTTGCATAGGATCCACCTTCGTCGCTCCATCCGGCGGCTGCGCCATAGCCATGGCCATGGTCGGTGGAGGTCCCGGGTACATCGGGGGACGAGGAGCGTCGGGGTCATAGACTGGTGGGGGAACTGGGTACATTCCGTAGTTTCCGTAGGGCTGTTGTTGTTGGCTTCCGGGTCTGGTAAGAACAGCAGGGTTGCCGTAAGGCTGGAAGGTTGTTTGGGGATCAAGGTAGCGAGGGTCTACGCGGGCGATATCGTCGCGGGCGACGAGCCACTATTTGGGGTGTGTTAGTCTCTGTGGTCTTAGGATGGAATGGATGGACTAAATAAGGTATAAGATGGGCGTAGAGAAAGGAGAATGATGGAAGGATGTGTGGGAAACACGAGAAGAGAATAACAAAATGATTGCTTACCCTGTGATACGCCATGGGTGGTTGACCCTTCGTTATCCGCCTTTTGGCGTGTAGATAGCCTAGTATGAGGTAGAGCCCGAAGAAGGTACTTAGGCCGAGGAAAAGAGACCATTTGACGATGACGCCCGTCTGATGTTTAATGATGATAGGATTAGCAAAGGAACTGGCAGAATGTTACTGATAGTCTGTCTTTGTCGCCATGGATGTTGGAGGAGTTAGTGACCGAGTGAACCGAGGAGGCACAACTTACTCTTGTGTACCAAAAGGGGACATAACAACTATTTGGGTCGATGAAGCCATCTGCCCCTCGAGTACAGTTGCTATACTCTCTTATCTCCCGTGAGACTATCCTCGATAATAAGAGAGTCGGTTTGACTATCGACTCGGACGCCGCCATGATGGTCTATTCCAAGCCAGCAGAATGTGAACACGAGTGTGACAAGCAGAACCACTCTAATAAAGGTATGTAGGCAATACTAATGCCCAAGTAGACAAGTCCGAAATTCCAACGTGTAGTTATTAGTCGGATATATCAAGACTCTGATACACCAAGCCGATTATGAGCTCCGGCTGTCAAGAATGTCGGCGGAGTCTGAGGAAGGATATGATAAGATGAATGATGGGGCTAGAAAGGGAACCAGCGATAATAACAAGAGCCAGAGACAGAAAGTGAAAACGAATGAACAGGCTAAGAGGAAGTGATCAGGAACCAACACTCTTTAGAACCTTCCTCCTGCCGCCCAGCAGCATGGGATCTCTCGTAGTAGTAGCAGCGGTCTTGCAAGACAGGAGAGAAGGAAGAGTGTAATGCCGGGTTTGTGCACTGAGCGATGAGACAGAAGAAGTAGAGGATCCAGACACACGTAGTGCCTCCTGTGAGTGGCGGCGACTACAACCTAGGCGAGAGACGGAGGGAGAGGAAGACGGTACAGAATTACCAAGACTTGGGGCCGAGAGCAGATTACTCCATCAAGAAGACAGATCTAGAGAGACCTGCCTGCTTTCCTTCACTCCATCTCCCAAAAAACTTGTGATACGTGCTCGGTCGTGAAACAGCACTTGTCCCAGTCGCCGACAGGGTAAGCGCAAATCACAGCACACGTCTAAATGGAAGGTTCCATGATTCACGATAGGGAGGCCTACCATGTGTCCTGGGCGTCCGACAGTGGTCCACCAAATTGTCTCTATCTATTCCTTCCCTGGGTAGACTAGAGTTGGTAGGTACGTATGCCGGAACAAAGGACAGAGTCGGGAGTCACCGTAAGGGGCAGTCATGTATGTAAGAGAAAGGATGAGATCTGTAACCAGGGGCTTCTCTTGTCGTTGCAGTGCATGGTCGTGGTCCAGCCCCAGATCGCGCTTGCTTGACTTGCTTGCATACAAATCGGCCGCTACTGTGGCAACCCGGGGATCCGGGGCAAGTCGACTGCGAGTCTGCAAGCCACAAACTGCAGCAAAGGTGCAAGCGGGCATGATCCCAGTTCGAATGTAGCAAAGGCTACGAAACGGCAGTGGTGCTCGGGCGGTTGCTTTGTACGGCAGAAAGGTATCAGACCTGAGGTCGTACCCCTTATCTGAGTTTCAGTTGTTTGCCGAGCCGGAACCCCTGAAGAGTTACACAGACCATGTCACTACCTTCGCCGGTAGTGTCTGGCGGCAGCGGTTAGGCCATCCTTTCCTGTCCCGGGTATCGTAGGCTGGCCGTGGCAAGTCCCTGTGGCTGGAATAAAAGAAACACCACAGAAGCGAGCGTCTGGTAACTCGAACTTGATTCAATCCGGGGGAAACGGGTAAGGTTGCCGTCGGGGTTCATACTGGAACTGGGAACCCGTGACAACTAATCACCAAGCTTAAGCCTGTGACGGATACTTACAAGGACCGCCGAAGGGACAAAGGTTCAGACATGTCCTAGATCGCTGCCCTTGTGTGCATTGCCTGCCGCGGATATCGAATGTCTTGCAAAGATCATGTACCTACTCGATGAATCAGGTCTCGCCCGCATGAAAAGTAGCCTGTATATCTGGTGTACAGAGACACACTTACGGCCTCCTGATTGTCGGATGGAGAGATATAATCTCGGAGTTGTGACACATTGGGTGTCTTGGAACGCTAATTCCTCGCGACGACTTGGGCCTTCTGAGATGAGGCAGGTGGCCTTCATCCTGGCGGAGAAGAGAAACCGTTGGTCTGATCCGTCAAGTGATCGTTCCAAGCTGTGGGGGCCCAGACGGCAGCTCCTGGGTTCCCTTTTGTTCTTTCTTTCCTTCTCTTTCTCTTCCCTTTGGTAAAGAGTTCCAGGCCTTTAATCCAGCCACTTGTCTTCGTTCGGATCGTATCCCAAGACGTCAGGCTCAATGTTGAGGCTTTGCAGCATCATGAGCATGGTAAATCCCTAGCAGCAACACGTGCGTCAAGTTAGCCCATATTTTTCTGTCAGTGACACTCACCTTTGCCACAGTAACCTTACCGAGTCCTCGCAATTGTCTTCTGCACTTCCGTCTTCATCGTCATTGTTTCCTTGCGAAAATCGCCGGTCGTCATCGTCCTCATCGTCGCTGACATCGGAGTTTTCGATACCCCGCTCATCAATATCATCATTTCCCTTTCGTTTCTTCCCTTTCTGCCCCTCATCATCCCAAGCAGAATGAAACCCCTCCCTCTGCCTTCTCCTCGTCTCCCTCCACGCCTTGGCACCGCCCATATCCGCCACCCTCCCCTTGATAAGCTCAAACAATTCCTCTGCCGCTTGTCTGCTCGCGAGCTTCCATTTCTTTACTAACCCTTTCAGCTCCGCGTCAATGACCGTTGTGGCCTGCCGTCGTAGCTCCTTGCTCTCCTCGACAGCAGCCTTCCGTGATGCCATCTCGATACGCTTCGCCTGCCTGATGAAATCCAACTGATTTTGCATAGCGACTAACTGAACCTTCGTCTCCCTATGAGACTTTTGCAGTCCGGCTAAGATATCGTCACTGCCATCTGGACCAGCTTCACTAACAACTGCCCCCCTTGCGAGATGGTTTAGACCAACGGAAGGACGCGTAGAAGTGGTACTGGAGACAAAAGAAGTCCCTGACCCGATCCTGCTTCGCTTCTGATTGATACCAAAACTGATAGCTCGAGGCTCTTGCCCCTGCTCTTGCTTGTTGCTCAAACTTAGAATGGGTGGTTTCGCGTTCCGTCGTGCACTCGTACTGGGGCCAGCAGCGCTGGCACCACTATAGTGGAGACTGTTCTTTGATGCTTTCCTCGCTGCTGGCGTCGATACCGAGGAGAAACTTGTTTCTTCGTCGTCTTCTTCCTCCCCTTCTGCCCTGGCGTCGATGACGCCATCACCACTACCCACTGCCGCTCGTAATTTTGTCGTTTTACCCTGCTTCGTCGCCGTGTAATCTGTTGGCTTGTCACCAGGCGGTGTGCGATTGATCATGGGAGATCGAAAAGGCCTCCGCAGTGTAGCGTTGGCCAGCTCGACGCGGCGGCGCTTGGCTGCTGGCCCTGGTGTTGTGCGAGATGACATTGTCTTAGGTAAGAGGCAGGTTGGTGGATAAGAGGTTGCGCGCCGGCTGGAGTGTGAAGGAATTGGTCTTCGTGGGGTAAAAAGTAGTATTAGATTGCGTGCGGTTCATGATTGTTGCGCTCTTTGAAGTGCAAGGTGACGTTGCGGTCTAGTCCGATGAAATAGTGATGGATTGAAATGTGATTGTGAGATGAAAGAACTACCGCAATGCGAACGGAGACTTGGGATTATTTTAGCGAGTCGTACCTGCTGTAGTAGTTATCCATACCGGGCCGCTGCATCGAGGTCTGCAGAGGAGGGTCCTCACGATCATTCAAAGCAAGCATCCTCCCAACTGAACCATGATTAAAGTCCATTCAGACCAAGAAAGAGAGCCGGGTTCTGTTGCTGTCGATCGACTCCCAGCATCATCCGTTTGCTTTGTTGGCCCGCAAATGTCTGTGTTGAATACAAGTGCTTGGCCTGAAAGACGTGTGGGCACGTGGGTGACGCACTAACAGCAACATCGGCCTCTACTATGTAGAATAGTTCAAGAACGGTGCTTGTATGGCTACTCTCAACCATAACCATTCTAACGTCTGTTATAGCATACAGCATATGTATTCAATACCCCAATACACCATCGCTCATTAATAGCTCAAAGACCAAAGATGCAGTGGAAAAAAAAAAAAGTTGCAAAGCCGTGCCAACCAGCTGCTCAGTGGCCCACGCCACCAACAGCCCATTGCCCAAAGCCTGGAGCGCCAGGTTGGGGGAAGAAACCCCCATTTCCTGCCTGTTGTTGCTGTTGTCCATTAGCAAACGCTCCGCCAGCTCCTCTAACGCCTTGGCCTTGCTGTTCTTGCGGATGGCGCCTAGCCTCATCTTCCTGCTGCCGCCGGGCTGCTTGTTGTCGCTGTTGGCGGTACAGTACCAAGAAGACAAGGGCGGCGGCGAGACCCATGATCACCAACGTCTCCAGGATGTCCCCTTCCTCAAAGGCACCCAAATCGGAATCGGCACCAGGTATCGCATCCTCATAGCCATCATACATGTCATCTCCGTAATAGCCCATCTCATCCTGTAAGAAATTATTGATCCATTCACTGAGCGACCATTCTTTTTTCTCGGCTGCTGATTGTTAGCTGGGTTTCTTTGATATGTCCTTGGTCAAGGGGTGATGCTCACTTGGCTCGTCTTGGATAGAGTTGATCCGGCCGTTGGTGAAAGTATTCCAGGCGCTTCTCGCTCGCAGCTTCAACAAACTGAGAGAGACGGGGAGATACGCCTCATCGTTCGTTTCCAGAGCAGTATCATAATACCGCTTAGCAAGATGATAGTCTTGAGTTAAGCCAATGCCATTTTCATGCATCCAACCCAGGTTCCACAACGCCTGCGCGCTCTGGTAATGTTCTGAAGCGGCAGTATAGCACTGAACGGCCTTATCAACATCAGCATCTGTTCCTATCCCGCCAAGATAATAGTCACCCATCTTGACAGTAGCGTCAATATTACCCTGCCTTGACGACCGGGTCCAGTAGATGAGTGCTAGTGTCGGGTTTTGGAGAAGTGTCAGCTTCTGGGCCTTGGGAAACAGCCACTGCGGGATAGTCAAATAGGACTTTTGAGGGTCGAGTATGTACGCAACATTGTTCTGAGCGGTTTCATATCCTTGCTCTGCCGCGTGCAGGTATTCGAGAAATGCCAACTCAATCTCACCCGCTTCGTAGGCCAAATTAGCCTCAGCCCACGACGAGACAAACGGCTCTACCTTCTCAGCGACCGCTTTGTAGTAATTAAGTGCGACCTCGCATTGTCTCTCGCGGCCAAGACCGAAATAGGTCATCTCTCCGATATAGTAGTATGCCTCCATATTGTAGTACTTCGCCGCCAGGTCCAGGTGATGGTTTGCTGCGTAGATATCCTCATCGGACTGGCCTTGATCAAGGTACAACGCAGCGAGCTGCACATGTGAGGGTGGATACACAGTCTCGGCTGCCGCATTGAAGAACTTGAGCGCCAGATCGAGGTTTTGTTCCACGCCGTAACCGTTCAGATACATCAGTCCGAGTCCATGGCGAGACTGTTGGTCTGCTTGCTCATTGCCACGCCTAAACCAGAACTCAGCGAGCCTGAAGCTCTGTTCAACACCCTCTCCTCGCAGATACATGCGTCCAATATAGCCAGCTGCTCTGCAACTAATGGTGTGAAAACTGGGCGTCTTGTTTTCGAAAACCTGTCCTTTCTTATTCCAGGTTTTACTGGCCACTTTGAGAAAGTATTCCCTAGCTTTGGCGTAGTCACGCGGGAGGTTTCTCTGCCCGTCGTAAAATATACGACCCAGGTTAAAAGTCGCCTTGACATCGCCCTTCTGAGACATCAGATCAAGGTACTCGAGAATATCCTCGATAGAAGCCTGTGCGTCAGAGGTGGGGTTTTTGTGAGGTGCGTTCTGTCCCGAACTGGACACACTCGCTCCTACACCATATATACCTCCAAGCTCGTCGGCGATACGGTGAGATTCCGATATCCAGCTCATGCCACCGGGGGGTCCTGACCGGTACCACGCAATTGCTTTATCAGCGACCCTTTTGTAGTATTTCACCGCCGTCTCGCAGTTCTTCGTGGTTCCGATCCCTGCATAGTGACGATGTGCCACAGCCATCTCGGCTCTTGTATGGCCCTGGTTGGCAGCAAAAGTGTAATAAAGCAGAGCTCTGGCCTGATCCGGCTCCACAGCGCGTCCCACTCCTGTAGAATACATCACTCCCATCATATACATTGCCGAACTGTTGCCATTGAGCAAAGCGAGCTTTTGGTAGTAACTGAAGGCCGTCTTGAGATTCCTGGGATGGGAGAAGTTGCCGTAGAAGTTCATGTCGCCCAGGATATAGAGCGCATCAGAATTGTTCTTTTGTGCGGACTCTTCGAGGAGCCTGGTCGCATGGAGGAGCGGGCCACTGACGGCATCGTTGGAGGAAGCGGGCGAGGGAGCAGTAAGTCGGATGGCCGGCAATGCCTTGGAGGCAAGATGTAGAACGGTTCTCACAATGCCGGGGTTCTTTCGTATCTTATAATGCAACGGTTGGTGTAGCTTTCGCAATTCGACCAGAGCGGTGTCGACAAGGCCAGCACCTGATTATCTGTCAGTTGGTTGTCCCTCCAGTCCTGAGCTTCCGTGTTTGTTCGAGTGCGCATACCTGGTTGAACATGCTGTGCGGCAGGGAGCTCGGGGGGGAGTGTATTGCCTGTTGCTCCATTCGATTTATCTCCGGAAAGTACATGTTGTTGGTTGTCCGGCACGTCCGCGTGGGAGAACACAGCAACCTGCAATAGCACTGGGGACGATGATGTCAGTGTCTGGCGCTCCAGGAGAGCAGAGTGGCCTGGGGTTCGCAAGCATACGGAATATGTACAGGAGAAAGCGCCTCATGGTTGTCGACTCTGGAAAAGTAGTAGAGGCAAACTCAGAGGACAGAGTCATGCCATTATCAGACTCGTGATGTATCAGCAACAGATTGTCAGCAATAACGTTGTTTGCAATCCGTGGTTGTCCGTTGCAGTGGGATCCAAAAAGGAGCAGATGCGGTGCAAGTATTCGAGGTTGTTAGGCCGATTGAATATCAGCACTCTTTTCAGACGGGACGTATGTCGAGGTAAATCACGTCAATAAATCGTGGCGTAGTCACTACCAGTAGCTACAGTACACCTTTACTGTTGTGTAGTGGTAGCGTCCACAGCAGTCGGGAACCAACGCTATCATAATACCAGCTGTCCAGAGTGAACTTGAACACCCAGCGTGGACTTCCCATTTTGTAATCGTTCTAGAGCGAGCTCGACAGGGGTCCGCACTCCTACCCGGGCGCCCGCAGAGCTCAAAACCTCGACAGCCGCGTCCCGTCAGTTATAGCGTAAGTACCTGCTTTTGTGATTGGTCAGTCAGCTGGCGGACAGCTGCCGCGGCTTGCGATCCGAAGTGCGCTTTTGAAGGAGAGAAGTATGTAGTTATCATTTCAAGGTTCAACTGTCAACTCAAAAAAACAAAACAACAGCAATAAATTTTCGAATAGTCCCTACTTTGTGACCAGTGAATGACAGCATAATCTGTTTGGGAAGTCGGATTACTCTTTTTATCTAATGTGAGTACCGTGTACGGGTAGACATTAGGACCGTTCAAGACCGAAGCATCAAGACTAAGGACTTTGTACAGCTCAAATCGACTTACAACTGAACTGAGAAGTCTCTCACAAATTTTCTGCGAACAATTGTACCAGAGCAAGATCTTTCAGCCCCAGAAAAGAAACCAGTCACGATGTATGCCCTATCTTGCACCGACGGGTTCAAATATCCTGGTTCCGAACCAACCTACATCACAGACATCAACCCCGTCTCTGCTGGACTAGCAGCCGTTGGCTCCGACCAAAGTCTCTCCATCTTCAATCCTCTGCGCCTCAACCAGGGACCTCTCAAGAAAGTCCAGACGAACCATGGCAACATCAGCTGCGCAGAAGTATACAGCGTTGGAAACTCGATCGTTGCCACAGCAGGCGAGAACGGGACGGTTTCGCTCTGGGATCTGAGAAGCGATGCGGCCAACACACCAGTGTTGCAAATAGGGACGCCAGGCGAAGGTCCCGGTTTGCTCTCACTTGCTTGCTCGGAACAGACAAACGCATTAGCTGCCGGCACCGAACTGGCTAACCACCAAGCATCCATTCTTTTATGGTAAGACTTTACGTACCCAAGCTCAGCTCACCTGCTGTTCGACACCTCCAACCAGACAAAATCTCACTAACTTCCAACGAAAAGGGATCTCCGCTCCCCCCGCGTCCCCAAAATCCACTACGACGAAGTCCACAGCGACGACGTAACCGAGCTCTCCTTCCACCCCACCAACCCTCACCTCCTTCTCACCGGCTCGACCGACGGACTCGTCAACGTGTGCGACACGCGCATTACGGACGAGGACGAAGTGGTCATCGCGGCCTTCAACCACGGCTCCGTGCACCGGGCCGGCTTCCTGAACGAGACCGAGGTGTACGCCGTGTCGCACGACGAGCGGTTCGCGCTGTACGACATGGGCGAGACGGTTGAGAAGGGCTCGCCGACGCTCGACCTGGGCGACATTCGCAAGGTGGTGGATTGCCAGTATTTGTGCAACGTTATCCCGAAGGTGACGGGTGCTGGGGCGGTAATTGGTGCCGGAACACAGGAGTGCGTTTATTCCTTGGGACAACTTTGCCCTTTTTGGTGAAAAACCAGCTTTTGAGTATGTGCTAACCACGTATGGGGGGGACGAATAGTCAAGAATTGTTCCGGTTGATCCATCTATCGAAGAATGGTGCTTCATGGAGCCTGGATAGTGAGACTGTGGTAGGTCTTCCGGGGGCACATGGATCCGAGATTGTTCGCAGCTTTTGCTTTGTTGATGAGCAGCAAGTAGTTTTTACCGCCGGAGAGGACAGCTGCATCAAGGCGTGGCGGCCCAGTGCATAAGCAAGTGCGCAGTCACTTAAGCCATCAATTTATTGGGGTTTGAACCACTTCCATCCCAATTAGTATTCGGCTCTCTTCATGAGTAGTAAAGCGGTGAATTCAAATTCGACATGATTTCCGAATGATGTGAACTCTTTGAATGACAGCTATGGTCTGAATTACGTCGAGAACAATCTCCCGTGTATGAATTGGGTTTTAGTATTATTAAAGGCTTGACTTAGTGAAGGGCAAGCTAGTTGTCGATCTATCATCAATCATCAAAACTTTTTATTAGAATGTCATCCTCATGTAGTAATCACGAGGCATGTGTGCTTTTTCGTTTCTGCAAAACTCCGCCCCGCGAGCCATGTGGAAAGATATGTGGGTATATAGAATGATCGAGACACAAGCGCCAGCCACTTACTGCAAGTTTTCGATAACGATGGCAGAAGCACCACCGCCACCGTTGCAGATACCAGCGCAGCCAATCTTGGCCTTCTTCTCAGCCAAGACGGAGGTGAGGGTAGTGACAACACGAGCACCGGAGCAGCCAAGAGGGTGGCCGATGGCAACGGAGCCACCATAGACGTTGACCTTCTCGGGCTCGAGGCCAAGGATTTTCATGTTGGCAAGGGCAACAACAGAGAAAGCCTCATTGATCTCGTAGAAGTCAACGTCCTCCTTCTTGATACCGGCATGCTTGATGGCCTTGGGAATGGCGAGAGCCGGGGCAGTTGTGAAGCGCTCAGGCTCGTGAGCGGCATCGCCCCAGCCAAGGATCTTGGCGATGGGCTTGATACCAAGCTCCTTAAGCTTAGCCTCGGAGACAAGAACAACGGCAGCGGCACCATCGTTGATGGGGGAGGCGTTGGGAGCAGTGACGGTACCGTCCTTGGCCTGGAAGACGGTACGGGCGGACTTGAGCTTCTCGATGTTGAGGTTCTTGACCTCTTCATCGCGGTCAATCTTGATGGCAGGCTTGCCGCGGCCACCCGGGACCTCGATAGGTGCAATTTCCTTGAACAGACCAGCCTCGGTGGCGGCCTGGGCCTTCTGGTAGGAGTTGATGGCATACTCGTCCTGGGCCTCACGGCTCAGTTCATGGTCCTTGGCGCAGAGCTCGGCCTGGACACCCATGAGCTCCTTGCCATATGCATCACGGAGACCGTCGGACTGGATACCGTCGACAAGGCCGCCGTCGCCGTACTTGACACCAGTGCGGAGGTTCTGCATATAGTGGGGGACGTTGGACATGCTCTCGGTGCCGCCAGCGACAACGATGTCTGCATTGCCAGTCATGATGGTCTGGGCGCCAAGGATGATGGCCTTCATGCCGGAAGCGCACACCTTGTTGACGGTGGTGGCGACCACCTTGTTCGAGAGACCGGCCTTCAGGGCGCACTGGCGGGCAGGAGCCTGACCGACACTGAGGATAAAGACATGTGGTTAGTATTGTGCTGTTCCAGGATCGAGTCGCGGCGGCGCGTTCGCTGCGCACAAAGGAATCTATGGCTACGTACCCAGCGGAGAGGACATTGCCAAAGAAGACCTCCTCAACATCCTCAGCCTTGATTTCGGGAACGCGGTCAACGGCAGCTATAAACAGGAGTGGTTAGCTAAGGACACGTTTCATCTAATACTCCTCTCGAAACCGGTTCTAACCGACGTACACTTGATGGCATGGGCACCGAGCTGAACAGCAGAAAGGCTGGAAAGCTGACTACAAGTTCAGAGATATCAGCAACGCGAAGTTCACGCTTCGTCCCTCCTGTGTCGTTCTGACAACAGCTCCAGGCCAGCCGACATGGCGGGGTAGCTTACCCAAGGAAGGACCCCACAGGGGTTCTGGCGGCAGAAACGATGTAAACGGAGGGAAGACCGGTAGACATAATGGCTATTTTGGAAGCTTGGGGTTGGGGAAAAAGACGGGTCTTGGAATTAAAGATTATGGAATGAAACCGGGTGAAGCCAGGTAAGAAGAACAGTGAAGATGTGGGAAGCGTTGTTCTAATAAAGCTCAGCCCGTAACTACCAGGATTGTCTTTTGGACGCGGGACAGGATAGGGGAAATTGTTGAGACGACGGGGACCTTGTAGCTGTCACCTCTGGTCCTCTCACCGCCTTCAACGCGAGGTCTTATCAGTCTTTATCCGGAAAAGTGCCGATCTACAATCAGAGAAATGGACCCTCGCAGACTTTGACAAGTGGTGTGAGGTGTCCGATGCCGGCGGCAACTGGCTCTCTTCCAATGATACCTCTTGAACCCGTCTTTGTAGACTAGGATGTGGCGACATGGGCAAGGGACAGTTGTGGAGGTTTATGGAGTGTTAGAACCCTGAGGGACACCGTGATAGCCTACCACAGTACTTGGGGGGTTCTGGGCGCCAAGGCTTTCTTTCCCCCCTACATTCCATGTAGGGGGAGCTGAAAAGTTGGGACAGTATTTTAAGTTGGGACATCAGGAATCTTAGCGTTTCCTATAGAAAAGTGTTAGCAAAGACTTCAGTTAGCTATTCTACTACGAAGCCTTTTTCTGAAATTCTAGAAAAATTCAAGTATAAAATTCTTATTTGGAAGAACCATTATAGAGACTTAGAAAAAATTAACTTCAAAAATGAGTACGTGGTAAAGTCTAATTGCATTTTATACACCAAACGTAGCCGCTTTTAGTGTACACTAACCGCCGAACGAAAGTAATAATTCTATAGTAAAAAACACTCTCATTGCTTTTATCTCCCCAACTCTTTGACCAAAATTAATACAACTTTATTGTCACGGCACTATATAATATGGTCCCGTCCCTCTCGGCGTTCCGCCACTACAACCCAACCGTCCTTTAATCAGCTCTATCGAATCTCTATTTAGTTTATATATATAGTCTAGGAATAGAGTTTTCGCTACTCTCTTCTAATCTTCTCTTCTTCGTATAATATTACATCTTTTCTAAATCCTTCCTAATTGGTATTGTAATAGTATATTATACCTTTTCTATTAAATTAATAGCCCGATAACTTCTTTATTATTTTACTTCAACTTATTTTAAAATTAGTACCGACCTTTCCTAATCCCCTAGTCCTAGCCCTATTATATTATATATATAATTTAGTTATATTTTGCTAAGACTCCCCCTTAGAAAACGCTCCAGATTAACAATTTTATTTTTATTACTACGTTCTATTACTATTATACTACGTACCCTAATTACCTACGATACCTTACTTCTTTTTCCTTATATAATATATTATTAGCGTTCTATTACTAAAACTCCTATACTAAATTATAAATAATTTTATAAATTCGTTAAGTGCGCTTACTTTCGGCTTTAATACTATATTTACTTACGAAGTTATTATTTGGATTCTCTTCTACCTGGATACCCTCCCCTTTATTTACGAAGTGGTTGAAGGTTTATAGGAGGACTTCTCTAATTTCGTTTCTACTTTAGAAGTGGATTTTAATATTTTTATTTAATTCTAGTTTTATTTTATTATTATTAAAGATTATTTCGGCTAGATTTATAATAAGCTTCGCGCTGTTTGACGGGAGGTTTTAAACATTTAATAAACGGTTAATTAAATTTAATAGGCCGCTATTCAGAATTTTATTATAACCTTTTAAATATAATAGGACTTTATTAGGGTTACGGTCGAGGCTGCCGTTATAATTGTATAGGTTTAATAAATATAATAATAATTTACTATAACCGAAGATCGGGCTTGGTAATAGAATATTAATATAATAGTAATACTAATTATAACCGCCCTAATTACCGGCATTGCCTGTCTATACGGCGTTAAACCCCTTATATTTAATAATATTGAAACATCCTTATTTAAATATTAGAAAGAATATATTAATTAATAATTCTAATTAATTATTAAATTAATATTCAATTTTACTACGTATTTAATTCCGGCCGATTATATCCTTTATATTTTTTAATACTTTTCTAATAATATTTATATATATATTCGGGTTAAAGTCGATATTATTACCCTTAACTTTTATAATACTTTAGTCTAATTAACCGGGTTCTTTAATTTTTAGAATATCCTTATTTACTTTAACCCTTATTATATTACTTTAAATATTTATACCGAAGTAGTACGGGAAATAGACTATTTTAAATAAGGTAATACCCCTTTTACTAACTTTATTATTATTTTTATTAAACTAGCTAATTAATACGAATTCGATGGATAATATTATATTAATATTTTTAAATTTAAAATTAGTAGCGCCCTTTAAAACGCTTTAATTAATATTATTATACAATTAATAATTAATAATTTTAATACGTAGGTTAAATTCTTCCGAATTTTAATTAATAATATTAATAATTACTATTATTAGAATAATAATTCTTTGGCCCCGTCCCGTCTATTACCTTTAATTAATAATATTAGTAACCCTATAATTTTTAATAAAGTCGGCGCCCCCTAGAAGGAACTAATTTCTTAAATTAAAAAGGACCGCCGCTAGAAGTTCAACTTATATATATATTATAGTACCTTTAATTATTATATAATAGTTTATACGGCGAAGGTTAAATTAAAACTTATTAGCTTCGCTGCCGTTTTAATACTTCTTTAGAACGTAGGAAAAGTTTAACCTCTAATATAAATTGCTATTAGAGGCGAAATTCAAGGAAATTGGAGGATTTATATTTATATTCTATAAAATTTAATATTAGTTTCTCTTTTTCGAATTCCCTTTATTTTAGCGTTAGTTTATTAGTCCTTTATTTTATTATAATTAATTCTAATTATTCCCTAATAGGTTTTATTAATTCTTTATTTATATACTACTATAATATTCCTATTATATTACTCCTTCGGTTATATATCCTTCGTTTAGCTGATAGCTGGAAGGGTAGTAAAATTTTATATATTTATATCCTATCCTACTTTTTAAGTTCGTTTATAGACTGTTTAGCCCTATTTATATAATTATTCGGCAGCCCGGATATAATTTTCGGCCTCCTTTAATTATAAAAATATAATCCGAAGATCGATTAGTCTAATAATTCTATAAAGCTCCTAGGTTTTACCGCTATTAAGGTTCCGGTACTTATTAAATTTAATTAATAAGTATTTAAGAATGTCCTTTTAAATTTTAGCCCGGCTGGAATTAACCTTCTAATTATTATACTAGCTATTAAACCTACCTTCTAGAATAGGTCTAAATTTACTATAAAATTTAAAATATTTTACCGCCATTCTACAATAGTAGGGAAATTATAGTTACTAGTAAGTATACGCCCGAATAATTATATTTAATTTTAAAATACTTCTATCCGGATACAATCTATTCTTAATTTTATTTTTGCGTATAAGGAACCTAGCGTTAAAATTTATAAATATACGCCGGATTAATTCTATTACTTTATTAAACTTTCGGCGTTAGAACCCCCTAGTATTATAAATAATGCTTAAGTACTTAATAATTTAGTTAACCCCGATTAATTTTTCTATAATTTTAATAATATTATACTTTAAATAGTCTTCTAAAGTTAATCTACCGAATAGCCCCTTTCCTAACTAATTATTAATTATAGGAATTAAATAATAGAAAGGCTATAGTTTAGGGCCGTTTTAATAGAGGATATTTAAAAATATATCGATAGTAAACTATTATTGACCTAATAGGAAATTTTCGATACCTTCCTAGACTATCTTCGGCCGAAGTAGAAGGCCTTCGATTTTAATACTATTAAAATAATATTACCCTACCGCCCTTTTAATTATAAGATTAATTTAATCCCCAGTTAGAACTCTTTTTATTACCGCCTATAGTTTATATTTTAAAAGGAATTCTATACTATCTGTAAGTATTTAAACGATTACTTCGCCGTTAGTTTTATCCGTCTAAACTCTTTATTAACGGCCGCCCTAATCCTATTTATTATTATTATTAGTCTTATACACGCTAACTATATACATAGTCCGCCCAGTGGGCACGCGGTGCTGCTTCGCTCGTAGTCGGTGGGAAAAACCGTGCCGTAGTGGCCGGGTGAAAACCCTCCGCTTCGCTAATCCTATTTATTAAAAAATTTAGTAAGGGCGTCCGTATTTATATTAATTATAAGGGTTTAAATAATACTATTATTAAGAATAGATACCCTATCCTCCTTATTAAAGAGATTATTAATACCTTCCGAAAAGTAAAGTGGTTTAGTAAATTTAATATTATAACGGCCTTTAACTAGCTACGGATCGCCCTTAAGAATAAGTAGAAAACTATATTTATTATTAGGTTTGGCCTTTTTGAATATTTTATAACGAATTTCGGTATAACGGGCATACCTATTTCCTTTTAGTACTATATTAATTACATTTTATTCAACGTCCTTAATAAATATACTATAGCTTACTTCAATAATATATTTATTTATAGCGAAATTAAAGCGGAATATAAATATTATTTTAAGGATATTATTTCGCAATTTTATAAAATAGGCTTTATAATCGATATTTAAAAGTACGAATTCTATAAATATAAAATTAAATATTTAAACTTAATTATTTCCCGGGACGGCCTCTATATAGATTTGAAAAAGGTTAATGCTATATTGAATTGGAGCGTCCCTAAAATATTAAAGGACTTCTAATATTTTATTAGTTTTATAAATTTCTATTACTATTTTATTAAAGGTTTTTCGAAGATCGTCTAGCCCCTAACCACACTAATATCTAAAGATAAATAGACCTCGCTTATACCCCTAACTACTGTAGCTATATTCGAACAATTAAAAATCGCCTTTACTTTAACGCCGGTCCTTGCTTATTATAACCCTAATTGGAAGATTATTATTAAAATAAATGTATCGGATTAAATTTCTAAGGGTATTTTATTATAGGTTAATAAGGAAGGGAAATACTACCCTATC